TAAGTTTAGCTTGTTCTTGCCTTTGATATTGTTATTCTGGTCTACGCCCAAACCACACTGTAACCTCCAAAAACCCTCCAAAAAAACAGTTTGATGTTAATTAAAAAGAACCACAAGGATGACGGGAAACAGAGGAGGAACACAATGTTCTGAGGTGGAATCATTGCTCTCTCTCTCTCTCTGTGTCTCTGTATCATGTTTCTCTCTCTCTCTCTCTCTCTCTCTCTCTCTCTCTCTTTCTGTCTGTCTCTATTGATGTTATGTCTCCCTGTTCACCTGATCCAGGACAGAAGGCGTAGAGGCTGCTAGTCCTGACACTCGCTCGAAGGCACCTCGAAAAGGTCATGAGATGTAATAATACCAACAGGGGACATTCTGAATAATGATAGTGGACATTTATTATACAGGAGCACAAGCAAACCCCTGCAGGCTCTGTGCAGGGCCGGCCAGATATGTAGCTGGGCCACATTTCAGAAATAACCACATTTACACCAGGCCTTAATTGTCGCCCTCCTGTCGCTTTACGGATGTCATGGCCGACGTTATGGTGAGCAGATGGCAGAAATGAGGCTTTATTAACAGGCAATTCTGCTTTAAGCAGCTCCCTAGCCACCTTAGGTGTATCTCCACAATCAAATATGGAGAGTGAAGTGCAGACTGTGCTTTTTAACATTAACTTTAATCATATGTCAAAACAAGAGTAAAGGAAATAGTCATTTCTTTGTTTGCTTCTCTCAAAGTAAATTCTGAGCCAGGCTGATGCAACAAAGAGAGACATCAACATGAAGGCAGTGACAGAATCAGAGAGAGAGGAACAGTAAGACGGAGCCAGAAGATTAAGTGAGACAGTCAAAAGGAAAGCGAGAGGTTGAGGGTCCGTGTAAACGTCTGTGAAGTGCGAGCAAGAAAGGAGGCAGGGAGAGATTGAGATTGCAAAATCGATCCAGAAAAAAACGAAACTCGAGGATGGAGGGGTAGATTGGACTGTTGAACAACGCTTTCTCACACCGGCAAAGTTTCATCAACGTAAGAGGGCTCTCCGTCCTATGAGTCACAGCAGATGGGCAGCACTGTCAAGTGTTTATAGACGTCCAGCAGACACTATTGATGGTGAAACGCGGCCAATTCGTCATCCACCCGAGAGCCCCTCTGCCAAAGCACAGGCTATTGTTTACCTGGTGTAAGCTGTGCCAGACAAAACCAAGTTTGAAATCCTGAATCAATAACTTGGACAAACAAAGTTGGCCCTAAATATGAAGGACGTCTGCCAAAAATGAAAATTGTACCAAAAATAACTGTTCAAAATCTCAAAGCAATGTTACAACTTAACCTTCACGCTGACTATTGATGTTGTATTTTTATTATTTACTTAGTGTTTCACTCTTAAGCAGAATTCAACGATGCTAAACAGCAACAGATCTGCTCCACCTGTCATTAAATGGTGAGCTTCAGATGTTTGTCAGTTGGATTTTTGTTCCAGTCATTGGGATTCTTAACTGGCTGCTCATTTAAATTTTCAGTAAAAATCTGCACTTACAGTACTACTACACTCACTTTCAAAAATCAGCTGAAATATTAACAATAGTCTAACAGTAAGTCTGACAATCGGCTGCATCAGGCTGTTTGTCTGTATCTGGTCATTTACTATAGCCCTTCAGATTAAAAAAAATATGTTTATTCTGTGCATGGGCCAGATTTTGATACAGTAAGTTTTGTGTTTTCTGTCTGTTTGTATAGCCAGAATATGTTGACTGATCACATACAGTACCAGAAGGCTTTATACGCAGAAAAACAGTCTGTGTGGAGAGCAAGAGGGGCAGACTGCATTAGACGTAATGTAATGCTGGGACCCATCTGCAGTCTCCTAATGATGATTTAGCCTTTTATTAGTCTCACTAAACAGAAATTTGAACGTAAGTTCAGCCAAAACCTGCTTTTAGATGGTCAGGGGTACCTCTCAGGGTAATGGCTTGTCCTTGCAAAAAAAGACAGCTGGCTGTTGTGATGAGAGGACAGGTTGTTCTGCTACCTGGTTTGCACCCTTTTAATTTTTTAGTGGTTTCTTACTTAGGTAGCCAAAATACATTTATCTACTCCCCACGTCTACAGCAACATGTTTTATGTGCATGCCGTCTACTTTAGGCCATAGCTTGACTCAGACATATTCATAAGTATCTCGTTACCTCTTTGAAAATGTTCAACCCTCACTTTCACTTATGTAGTCGTTTCTAGAGTTATTGTAAGTGCATATTCAGAATACAAGGTGAGCTTAAGACACGTTGTGATTGCCTGTTGAGAAAGATGCACTCCTCTGCACTGAAAATTTAACTGGAAGACAAATCTTTTCATTCTCATTAGCTTAAAAGACAGATTATCCTAGTATAGTTGGCACTTGCTCCATCAAGCACATTATGCAAAATCAATTTGACAACTCAATTTCACAAAAGAACATAAATCCTTTAGTAAAACAATGTTAAAAAAAAAAAAAAGAAAAAAAAAAGGGTAATCATGTTTTCTCCAGTTTTTAGATGTTTGTGATTTGATAAAGGTCCCATTACTCTTCCTCCATTGCCATTGTGTTATGTTTTTATTGGCTGACGTTATATAGCAACCTTTTGGTATTCCTCTGTGCACTGAAGGGTCTGTCTGTTGATGGATGATGGTATATTATACATGGACGTCATTAAAACAGCCTTATTAAGCAGCTCTACGCTATCTCCACACAAAAGACGTCAACATTACATGCCCTCTGCCATACAGGCAGACATAATTAACAGCCTTCATACATGCAGGAGTGACTTAATGTACTAGTGTGCAAATCGTGTCAGACTGTGGACATGAAAAGGGCACGCAGTGTTTTGTAAAGATCTTTTATTGAGGTACCTGGCCAATCAGAGACGCTGGACTCAGAATACATCCAAACAACTACTTTACATTTTTCATTTCCCAAAGGTGTGGACATGTAATGCTACATAAAACTACAGACGCAGTGTGAGATTTACGTGATCAAATCATAAATCCAGTTCTGCTTTGACACATTTCTCTCCATTGCTGCTGCTATGTCGTTCGTTTATTTCCCACGTGTGATATTTACTGATATCAGCAACATCAAGACATCCATCAGCCCGAAGAGCTCCATAGGGAAGTGAAGTTCCAAATAAAGAATGGTTCAGTACGACAGCAATCACTTTGAAGGACCTACGTCAACAAAAGGAACAACTTATTCCAACAACATAAATTAAAGTGCTATTCCCGCTATTACTAGAAGATAAGCTTATTTCTCACAGTCTCTAAAGGCTTTCACATACACTGAAATGTGGACTTAAGGAGGATAGTATCAGCTAGATGATCTCGGTGCGCTGAAAAAAAACATAATGAGACACAATTATTTGACCATTTTCAGTGCCATTATTTTGCTGTTTTATTCTGTGCTCTGAACCTACAGTTTTCCTCTCCATCTCCATCTGGTGAAATGTTTCTGACAGTGTCCTCTCCTCGGAACACGAACACGATGTTCTTTTTAAAGAAATGCATCAGATTTCTTTAATAAGCAATGGACAAATAATTCACTGGAAGTCGTAACCGTGAAAAGTTGACTTACATGCCTGCACTTCATGTCAGATCTGAAGATGCACATCAACAAAGAGAGGACAAGACAGGCCAAACGGGAGGGAGAAGATGGAGATGACAGTTTGACAGTTGATGACATGATGACATGTGCACCCATGGTTACATCACTTCCTGAGTGCGTCCACTGACTCATAAGGGCTCGGCACTGATCATTGCACCTCGTCTTTCTCCTTTTTCGAGCATCCATCGCCAAACTGTGAGGAAAAGTTGCTCATTGTGGTCAGAAAAGTTCCACTCTGCTTTGTTTTTCTGGCAGACTGGCCTGCTTTATTTCCAAGTTCTTGCACTTCCAGACAAGTTCCACCCCGCTTTCAAGAAATGATTCTGAATCATCTCTGCCTTTAAAAAAATAACATAGACCCCAGAAAACCACTGCTGTTTCTGTGTTATCAACGAGGAACAACACTCCATTATGTATGCCTAAATGGAAAAGCAACAAACAAAAAAAGCAAGGAAGCATTTCTACCAAATTCCTGGAAGGTTGATTTCCTGGCATGTTTAAGATAAAGCAGTTTGAAACACCATGATTGATTTTTTTTTTTCTGTGACCAAAAAGTAAAAGATCCTGGGGATTTTTTGTACCATATCTTCATTGTTATTTCTGACTGAGAAAAGGACATTTTTTTTAGCCTTCTTTGAAAATAAGGCCCTCAGAGCCCTCCAATTTGCCCTTTGAAAATCTCCTCATTTCTGCACTCTCAAGCTGGTGAGCGCAGTAATAACTCAGTCTGACACTTTTCAAGCTTTTTGGATCATGTGTGCTCCTTTCATCTGATTCTGCCACCTTTTCCGAGCGGCAGTGGCTGCTCAGGCTGGCAGTGGTTGTCCTTGGTGAGTGCCTCCAGTCGTGAAACATGAAGCGTGTATCCATATCAAAGCCAGAGACCCTGGCATGTCGTATGAAAAAAAATCAGTCGTATGAAAGAAGAAAAGGACAGTGACAGGACTCCCTCATTGGTAGATAAGTAAATCATCATTGGTTGGATGAGTAAAACCAAAATGAGAATCGATTTCTGGCAAGCTTATTTAGAGCCTTTGCGCTGGTGCAGCCTCTGTCTAACTAAACATTGAACTTTGTTTTGGAAAGGAAACTGTACTAGATTGCAGAGAGAAAGTTCCAATCTTAGAGCAGGACTGCAGTCTATTAAAGACTGTTAAAGACAGTAAACCAATTCATCTGTAAACCATTTGTTCTTCTGCAGTTTCAGTTCTATGCAGAGTGCAGAGTCTTCTTCATCCGCTTTATCTGTGTTTGGTTCGAAGTCAGTCAGGACTGGCTGGGAAGACTGCAGCAGTCTTTGAGCCAAGGCAAGGGTGGGGGAGGGCGGCTGGTAATAGTTTGATGAAGGGTGCATCCCGGGGGGGGGGGGGGGTTGAGGGGAGGAGGGGGGGATAGAAGAGGAGGGATGGTGACGTTCACGCAGAGGCTCAGATCTCCTCTATGGAGTCAGCTGGGACCAGCCCTCTCTTCTTGCCACTGCTCAGCTTCAGAAACACCTCACCATCTTCTAGCTTCCCCACACAGATCTAAAGGGAGGAGACAGACATTGAGTTACTCTATTATTCTATTCTATTCTATTCTATTTTCTGTAGGGGGGGGAAAGACGTGCGGAATATAAGACCAGACTGAACTGTCAGAAACTATTTGAAATTTCAAGAAAAAAAGACACTTTAAAAGATCTTAAAAAATGGAGGAGGGTAACCTATTGGAGGAATTTCCAGCAGATTTCCAGCAGATAAAAGCATGTTAAAAAGCATTATTCAACTTGCTATGCAGTTAAAGAGAATTTTCTACAGTCATTCAACGTCATTTATACCTAACACAAATTAGAGCTTGTGAGGAACTTTTGATTTGCATCGCTTTTGGTACCCTTTCTTTGTAAAGTTGTACATCTCACTCTATCGTTTGCTGATCTTGTCTTGGACGGTAGTGTTTTGTGATGACAAATCTCATTCTGCATGAGAAATGTATTTCACTCAGTGTGAATCTTTGCTGTTTCACAACCAGCTTAAAAACATTCTATATGTTTCTATGTGACAAAGTAGATATGAGGGGGAAAAACGTAGGTAGACAATTAAAAAAAATATCAATCATTCCAATGTTGGAATAAACTCCAATGCACAGCTCCAGTGCGCCGCATGGCTCAACAAGGTTTGGATGCCTTTAAATGTGACCCTGGATCTAATCTGTCACTCACTCATGGTGTGCTGGGATAGACCATACACTCAGGATAAGTGATAACCTCACACAAACCCTTCCACACATGCTCTGCTCTCCTTATGGTTTACCTGGGATTCCTTCACGGCCATGTGACCTCTCTCTCGGTTGCCTGGAAGACCCTGGACGACCCGCCACACTCTCTCTCCTGGCCGCACCCTCTGCACAAAGTTGGCAGGGAAGAAACCGACTCTGTCGCCACTCTTACCCTGAAAACCACAGTAACAGTTTTCAACATCTGATACGTATCTAGGTGTCACTAGATTATATATACGGCAATGAGTCATTTCATCCTCAGTGTTGATCAAATATTGCATTTGTGTTAAAGCTCATTGATTCTCGAGTTTCTGATTAATTGTGTCTTTTTTTTAAAATATAATTCATAAAGCTGGTCATTTGTATACAGAACAGGTGAAAGTTTAGTTTTGACTGACATGTGAGTCGTGATTGGCTGAACTTACTGATAAATGCCAGTGTTGTCATCGTAAATCAGTAAAAACAAAGAGCCGTTTTGAAATTTAATGGACAATTAGGACCAAAGTGAGACAGATGGCAACACATTAAATCACATTCTGTGCAATGACAAAGTGTGAAAACAGCTTATAAATTACACAAATTAATGTGAAAGTCTTTTTCCTTTTTTTTCAGGGGGGGGGGGGGGTCTTTATTTGATAGGACAGCTGAAGTGTGACTGTAGCCTCTGTACATGAGGTGTCTACTCTACCAACTGAGCTAAACCAGAGCTCCGAAGGATGTAGTTTTTTTTAAATGCAAGCAGGGAATTGTTTCTGTATATTTCCAGAAAAGGGTAACAGCAGAGTATGGCCCCTTATTTAAAAGCAGATAATGTCTGATTAGACCTCATTATGCAGCACTATTTCACTGTTTATCACCCTCTGCTTCAGGTGTTTGCGTGTTTATTGAGGTGATTCACAAGCTATACATAAATAATGAACAGGTGACTAACACATTATACATATTTTAAAGTTTGTGGCAGCGTTGCTGTAAGATATTGATTGCCTGGGGATTCTCCTCAGATGACCTCAGTGCGATTAAACACTGGTCCAAGTTTTACAGACTCTGAATTTCAGTCAAGTCTGGGTGCATCCTTCTTTTTCTGTGACTGAGGTGCACACACACGCATACAAAGATGCACGTTCATTTCCATCGGGAACGAGTGAAGCTCATTACAGACTCAATAAAGAGCTCTTTGAGGTTTCCACACTAGTCAAGTTCATTATGTTAAACTCTCAGTCATTTTGAGAAAATTGTGTTCTATTTCTGTCTGAGCCTGCCTGCATGTTTATCACGGGGAAAATGGAGCAGGTGTTCTACATTAAAGACTCGATTTACAGCCTTGAATAAACACATGCGCACAATAGACGCATGCATGCTTATTTCCATATATTTAAATACACATTATTTACAAATCAACAAGCACAGAAGAAGACATATGGTTTATTACCCACCTTCCACCACTCTTCATTAGAGTCATCGGTGACCTGCACCCGATCACCGGGACTAGAGGAGATAAGACGAGAGAAGATGAAAAAGGGGAGGTGATTAAGGTGGAGAGGAAAAGGGGACGAGGAGACGAGTACAGGGTACATGATGCATAGATGAAGGGGTTGAGTGAGAGTCAGAGGCACAGCGAGAAAAGAAAAAAAAGGGTTGAGTGCGAGCGCAAAAGATAACATTATCAAACAGCCGCAGCAAGCTGTTGTATCCACGGTAACAAAGCTGTTGAGGTTGAAATGACGACGGGTTTTTGTGTCTGTCTGCAGAGGTGACAGAGCGTCCGACACCAAAGTCATGAGGTCGACATTAAATATGACTCTGAAGTGCCGCTGCAGCAGTGAAAGCTGAACCTGATCTGTAGCCGACCTGGCCTGCATGCTAATGATGCTAACCGTTTTTCATGAGACTTTTCTAAACACACACACACACACACACACACACACACACACACAGAAACAAAAGCACTCTCACATGCACACAGTGTACCCAATGTCCTAGATACTCAGGGAGAAACTGCTGTCCCAAATGCACTCCTGTAGGCTACATGACGTCTCCTGGGTGTCTGCTCTCACTACTGCCCTATATGATCATTGTTACAAATACACACAAGCACACGCAGAAAGTTTTTTGTTTTACAGTTACCTAACTTAGTAACTAGGGTGAGACCCATATACATCAACTTATCCTGGACCCTTTTGAAAATGTGAAAGTTAGGTCGAACTTTAACCATCTTTATCTGAGGTTAGTTGAAACAGCATCTTAGCTCTGCGTCAGAAACTACTCTTACGATCTCCCGGTAGTGAGAAAGATTTCAATAAACATTAATTCCAGTACCAACTTCTCTTAAGAGTAGACATATTAAAAGTAGGGTTGTTCAGTCTTTATGAAATAAAACATTTTGCAAAACAGCCAAACTCTTAGCCAAGAGTCTACCAACATATGTGCCTGATTATTAACAATCCCCTCCTTCAATTTATTGCAGCAGATTGCACAATAATTTATTATTTAAACATGTGCTGTATCTGAAATCAATCCTTTAATTTATTGTCATGAATTTTCATCACCATGTACAGATGTAGATTTTCCTGACTATTCATTTCTGCATCTACAGAATTGAAAGTATTTCATCGTGGGGCTGTAATTAGGTAGAGGTGCACCTACTTAGGACACATATTTTTTTCATTCCACTGTGGGAATATTTCAAGGCACCATAAAGTAAGACTTCCACGATCAATTGCTTCTGTATACGAACATTTAATTCAACATATCCCCCCCAAAATAAAAGCTTGAAACACAACATTTAGAAAAACTATTTGATAAACACGTTCCATGCATTCACTATCAGCATGAGGACATTTTTACCATGCAGGTGAGGTGCTGGATACAAGAGGAACATTGGTTCTAATGCAAAATAAAGGCACATCTACTCAGCGTTATTTCAACATCACATTATTGGAGAATCTAATCAAACATTGCAGATTTTAAACTTAATGTTGAGGCCTTAAGAGAATTGTTTTAAAAAAAAATCACAAATGATGAGTGACTTTGGACACAGAAATCTACATTTGGTGTTCTTCATAGCAGTCTGGCACCAAAGATCCTACCAGTATGTAATCTGCAAGGCTTTTAAATTCAAACCACTTTAATGCTCGTATTTTCAATAGATCTTAATTGTGCATTTCTAGAAGAAAGGTATCCAGATTTTTCTGAGCATAGAGACCCATGACGCTTTCATTAGCTCACACATGTATTCTGTAGTCACACATGCAGAGCCACAGCACAGATGGCTGTTAATAGTCCCATGGATCGCCTACCTTTGTCAAATCTGTCCCCTACAAACACACACACGCTCACGCTCACTCTGCCCTCATTTACTGCTCTGCCCTTCCTGTCTCATGTTGTCCTCCTTTTGTCTTATAGTGTGGATATAGGATTTATTCCTCTCTATAGACACTTGGATTTCTCCACCTGTTTCTCAATCCTGTCTCTCTCTGCTTCATTATCTCCAGCTCTACGCCTCCATCCCTCACGCCTTTCCTTTCATCTCTCAGTTGTTCACTGTCTTCATCCTCTCCGCTGCAGGGCTCACAGCTCAGTCTCTAGCTCTGCAAGGGGACAGTGACGAGCTTTGCGTTTATAATTAGTCTTCCTTAAGGGTGTCGCACACCATCCTCTGTGATTGGTGGGGACATTTTTTTCCCCTGCAGGAATGACAGCCGGGGCAAAACACAGACAAAGCACATGCAATCACACAAACAATAGAGAGAAAAATTGTGCGTCCACACAATGTAATCTGTTTGGCCTTACTCACTTAAGTTCCAGGTCATTCTGTTCCTGAGGCAGGAACTTGTAGAGGGCAACATAGGTGTGGATTGCGTGAACTTCAATGCGCTTCGGCATCTGGTCACAGGAAGAGAGAAGGGTGTTGTGAGTAAGACATACACGCCTGAGGAATAAGACAAAAGAGGGTGACAGGGTTCACATGGCGATACCAAACGTGCTACCTTCACACTGCTGTCATCTGCAGGAGTCTGAGCTTGGCTGCTGCTTTCATCTTCCTCTTTTTCCATCTCAGGCTCAGGGACTGGGATGTCTGGAGGGGGGTGAGAGGTTGTTCTTAGAAAGTGCCAGCCACGCACACAACCAGCATTGTAACAATCTGGCGTGACGTTTTTTTTCTCAACCACACACTGCAAATCTCTCTCTTACACACACACACTCACACACAGGTAGACATAAGATATGCATGGACACAGGTATGCATGGACATACAGCACATGTGAACATCCACAGACACACATAGCGGTGTTTACCCCCTGTCTCCTGAGTTATCTCTTCTTCCATGCTGCACTGCCTCTGCTGCCTCTCCTCATCTCCCTCCCCCTTATTAAAGAAGGAAATGGAGAAGAAAGAATGAAATGTTAGCACCAGGAAGATGAAAGCGGATGGGTTGATGATGGGGAGAGAAACTTTTTTTGTCTTGAATTATTCAGAATGCAGAGCACACAGATCAGCCCATCTCCTTGTTGTAAAAGTTTGCACAAAATGTCTAATGGGAAGAACGCAGAGACCAGTGTCATCCATTATGTTGCTAACAGATAATCCCCCTGTTGCCCAGTTACAAAACTTCTCCAAATTCCAAGTTAGATTTAAGAGGGATACGAGCCTGACCTGCAATGAGAGGAAACTTTTAATCCACTTGAAATGACTTTTTAGGGTAAAGTTTTGCATTTAGGGAAATGTCAGTGCTTCCTTTCTGGCTTGTTGGGTTGGACTTACCCTGTACTGTACATCATATTTAGCTAATAGCTAGTTAGAAAATTTAGTTCCAGTACAAAAATACATCCCCACTAGGCTGATCAAAGGAATCACACTGTAAAGACGTTCTATATTTCTTAATCACACTGGTTGATGATGTCATACCAGGGAGCGTGTTGGCGATTCTGACAAACTGCCAAAACTGGAGCGGCTCATCTGTGCCAAGGACGTCCCGTAGCGCAGGGCAGCATACACAGGGTCTACCCGCATCCGCACAGCCTCTGAAACCACACACACACACACACACATTCATGAAAATACACGCACACACTCACTTATGTTCAATCAATTTACAAGCGCATTGCACGCAGAAACACACTCTACGATTTTGACGTCACACAGAGAGTATATTGAACATCATTGTTCATGTGCCTGATGTGCCACTCAGGAGGAAGCAGAGGGTCTAAATATAACTGTGGTAACACAGTCAGTCCTGGACAGAAGTGACCCACTTAAGATCTGACAAAGGACAGCAGCCAAATGTTTAAGAGATCGAAATGTTCTAATTTACCTCCAGTGTACGCTGTGATTTATTTTCATTTTCATTTACTTCTTAGCGTGACATGTGTCTTATTTATAATAACTGAATTTCTAATGCAACAGGAGGTGTTATTGAGAAGAAAGAGATTGAGATTTCAACTATGGATATCCTAAAAAAGTCTTCACCGCTACTTTTCATGTAGATGGCAGTGGTCGCTCCTTTCCAAGTAAATTTATTTCTGAAGTTAGGAATGACATTTTCTGGTCTTTTCTCCACCCAACTGAATGCTAGTTAAATTTTTTCTGCAGGGCCAGATATGGTGTGTATGTGTGTGTGTGTGTGTGTGTGTGTGTGTGTGTATACGGGCGTGTTTGTGTGTGTCTGTATGTCTGTCTGCAGGATGAAGTCATACCAGTTTCAATTTAAAGTCAGTCCTCTCATCAGTGCTCTCGTCAGATAGATGAATAATTTAACAGGGACACTCAGAAACAGAAATGATTCAGTGCAAATGTCTTTCATCTACAACATGAGTGAGATTTTAATGTGATTACGCTTATTTGTGCTTCTAATTGATTAGAAGTGAATAGGGGAGCCACCCCTGCAGAGTTACCCTATTGCATGTGAAAAGAGTAAACCGCAGAAAGACTCTATAGTCCTGCCATCAATACAAATAGTATTTGTATAAAATGCACCTTCATCAACCTTGAGCTCTTGGGAATCAAAAAAGTTTGACAAAAAGCCTAAATCAAAGACTTTAATCAATCCTTTTTAACCTCATCTTTAACATAATACAGCTGCCCCCCTGTATAGAGAAACAAGTCCCTGAATACAGAGCTTATAATTGAATCTGATCTGCTTTTATTTGTCACTGCGAGATAGCAACAACTGTTACGCAATTCACTTTTGCAGCTCCATAAATGAGCTTTGATTTTAGAGAATAAAGTCACGCCAAAAGGCTATTGATGGGAAATTACAGGGCCTGTGAGTAAATCCATCATAAAATGTTCCACCTAAAATCAATGTGCATAAACATGGGCCCAGTCTTTTACCAAGCCTTTTGGCAATAATGATGAGGACACTTTGCCGAGTAAAACTGTGAGTTTGACAGGTTGCAGTGTCAGCTGGCCCTGGCAGAGTCCCAGGGCCTCATGGTGCCGACAGAGCTCTAGGTTAAATGCACCCTGATTCATGGATAGTAGCACAAAGTGACAGGATGAGGAGCTTACACTGATCTAACAAGGCATACAGTAAAAGAGATGAGGGACTGAATTGACTTTGACTCTTTGCGACATGGTAAAGAAAGAGACGCTGTTATTCAGAGATGATGATGAAAGGAAGAACAAATTCAGGTGCTTTTATAGAGCAGGGAGTCTATAAATAGTATTTGCTTGTACGTATCACTGTGTTTCAGCCTCAAGCAGGTTTACAAAAAGAAGATGAAGTGACCATGACGTGTCAAATTGTTCCCTTCCATTATTCTAATGCAAAATAAAATGTGTTTTTGAAGTCTAATTATGGGACTTCTTTTTTTTTTTTAAATACAGGTGGGTGTTTGGATACATTGTGCTTGTAAGGACTAAAAGTAGGAGGCATTTAAATGTCAAATACTCTTTAAACATGCAGGCTGTAGTGCCAGACAATGATTGAAATATGTCATCGGTCCAAAGACATACAGTACAAATCATGAACAGTAATGTAAAAAGCAAACACAATGGAACTTGTAAATATTTATTCACATACTTTTAGGGTGCAGACCGTCCATCAGCCTCCAAGAGAAGCTGAATTTGTTCTTCCTCTTTCTATTTTCCCACTTCAAGCTCCCAGGTTGTCAGGTGAGATGGAGTCAGTTCTGGTTTTATTACAGTGCACGCACAAGCACACAGAAAATGTAAAAAATAAAACCAAAGGACTGGACAAGAGAACACAAAACAAAAGTACACGGGACAGATACAAACCGCGCAGTCTCTCGTAAATGCACACACACACACACACGCACACACACACACATAGAGGCACTTGGGTATGCTCACCTTGGCTTGGTTGAACTTCCTTGACGACTGACAATTGGTCGTTGACGAGCATCGGCGAGCTGAAGTTTCGCTTGAAAGCTCCAGACTAATATAGAGGAAAAAAGGAGATAGTTTTCTTTAAAATTCAAACCTCGTGCTTGTTGGCTGAGCTGAGAGCGAAAAGTGATTCATGTAGTGATTGAAGGGCAATTTGAAAATCTGAATTTCAGACACATCGGGATACTCTGACAGATATGCGAGGGCACACAGAGTGATGTATACTGTATATTCTGCAGTGAGCGAGCTCATTCCTTGCATTGAGTCGCATATTGTGAAACAAAGTGTTGGCGCTTTTTGCTGCCACTTATGAACAATGTATTCACTCACTCCTTACGTGTGTGCACATAGCTTACACACAGACACCGACATGTGATTCTGCATGTGCGATTCCACACGACTGCAATTTCACACTGAATTAAGCGCAGTAAGTGTTGCAGCTGAGATATCCAATAGTCTTTGACTTGCAAATGAGCCTCTCACTTTGTCACATTATGCAGAGGAGTTAAACTAACTGTGAGTCAGAGGTAATAAGTCATGCAATTGTTACTATACCATGTTCAAGTTGTCGCCTGTGTGTGTTGTACCTTTGCTGCCCTTGTGAATCTCCTAGCTCTCCCTCGCTCTGTCTGCCTGTGGGTTCCTCTTTTCTTAAACACAGAAGTATTTAAATGTTCTGAGTGGCCCTCAGTGGGCTCTGCCACTGGCTGCATGCTAATGTCCTCTGTCTGCACTGGAGGATAAACACAAAATCTCAGGCTGAAATCATTCTCAATTTACTGCTTGGTGCGCTCACCTTCTACCATTGTCCTTCACCCTTTGCCCAAATTCAAATTCACAAAATGGGATGAGCGACACAGTGCCCAGGGAGTTTGTATCACTGCTTTCTATAATCCCCACTGCAGAGTCCTTACTTCAGGTGTTTTAAATCTTAAATTCCTTCTTGCAATAATCTGAAGTTGCTGTGATAAAGATCAAATGGAGGTATACATGAGGATATTCTTGTCCTTTTGCCCAAAACATGACATGATTTATGACTTTGCTTCAGCCACATCAGCACTTCACATCTAATAAAGCACACATGCAACACAAACAGTATCCTGCATCTGTTCTGTCAGCAGTTTAACTTAAACTGCGCATATGGCTGGTTTTAACAATGCCTTTAGATCAGTTAGTGTGTGTGTGTGTGTGTGTGTGTGTGTGTCTGTGCTTCAGTGTGTTCATGCAGCAGTGCAGTTAGAGTGAAGACAAATAAAGCAATGTGTTCATACATCTGCAAATTGAGTTGTTTCCTTCTTTTAAAGTGTTTTTTTTATTCTCAAATCTCAAAACTGTACTTCAAACTGTTCCACACAACATATCAGGTTAATGTCAAGTGATCCCGCAGTATGACGAGCCTAACCTTTATCACCTTTATAAGTTACCATGGTAACAGTGTTTCTTAGATCATGACTGGAATCCAAACTGGTATTGTTGCTTCGCTTCTCATAATGTGGCTATCAAAAATGTCAGGCGACAATCAGATAAAGAGACTTGTTTGAAGAAGACAGTCATTCTGTTTTTTTTTTTTTTTTTAAATCTATCTCTGACTACTTGTATTAGTGCATTTTCATTATTTTTTATCAGTTTAGAAAAAAAAAAAAAAAAAGTTGTGACAAATAAGACCCATCATTTTAGTTTCAAAATGTACTTTAAACCAAGACCAGTCAGTTTGTTAGCTTGCAGTTAGCACAAAGCCTAAAAACAGCTAACAAATCTGTCTGTCTGTACAAAATCATTAGAAAAGCAACTCCAAAGGTCACCTTTTAGGATATGTTGGGTTTTATCCTTTAAGGTCTGCAGCAGACAATTTCTTTGACAAAGCCAGGCTAGCTTTATTACCCTGTGTATATACCCTAAACTAAGCTAGCTGCTGACTCATCCTTTGAGGATATTTCTTGATAAGTTAGCAGGTGAAATAAGTAAAAAGACATCTTCTGTAGCTTCTGGGAGTGATGTTTTTTTTTCCAGTTGTAATTTCAAATACAGACTGGGTTTTTCCAATGTGTCTGCACTAAGAGAAACATCACACACACAAATTCCATGACGTGCACAGCTGAGCAATAAAAAAAAAAAAAATGAAAGAACAGCACCGATTTATTTTTATGAAACTCGCAAATAAGCCAGTCGACTAAAGATGACAGTTTAAAAGTGAAAGACAAGAAAAAAACTACCAGCGTTACACAAAAAGATTGACTGACTAAATTCAGCGAGCGCTTTCATACCTTCCCATGACACAGCTGCTGTGACAGTTCTGAGGTGCACCACAGGTGAGCAGCCATCTTGCAGGTTTTACACCGCAGAGCCTGTTTAGAGTTTCCTGCAGCGAGGGACACAAATGTCAAAGTAAGAACAGGGGGACCCAGACATGCATGTAGCCTCAAATAGAAACTCACAGCAGGCTGCACATCTCAAACAGGCAGTAAGGGCTAACAAACTAAAGTGGACTTTAGATCGTATGAGCAGGCTGCTGTCTGTTCAGGTAGAGAGTGAAAGAGCTGTCCCAGTATTATCAAGCTGTCTCTGTCCTCAAAGCTAAACACTAAGAGCTTCATAATCAACAGCTCCTCTTCCACAACAAACCTGCAGAGATTATAAACCAGCCGGAGATGTTTCAATTACAATCGATTTGGCGTTGAGGCAGCTTGCTTTCATCTTTGTTTTTAAGCACTTCAGTGCGATAAACCTTGGATTAAAGGATTTCTCCCTCATGCATAGGTCATGAGAAACCTTGTTTGATTTTCAGTGTTTTTCAAAGGATTAAGCTGTTGGTTGAGTCTCTTTTTATCCAACCAACAACAAAAAGATTTCCGGAGTTGTTGTACACTGACAGGTCTGTTACGGCAGAAAAAAAACGATCTATCCTGGAAGGCTCAATGAAAAAAAAACTGCTTTTACTCTGATGAGAAAAAAAAAATAGATTCTGTTGTCGTAAGCCTAAAGAGGAAACAGAGGTCGTGTTTTGGGACTGCGGGAAGAGGAGTATAGCTGAAGAGACGTGATGCATTACATAAATAAAACCATAATGCATGCAGAAAAAAAACCCAGACGGAAAGAAAAAAAAAACGGAGAAGCAGGTTAGAGTCTGTAATCAATCATAGTGACGCTAGGTAGATTTAGCAGAAATACAAGAAGCCCCCTGCAGTGCCTGCAAGTAGCAAATTAGGGCGAAATTCACTCCCACGAGTTCACCACAGAAATCCCTCTTAATAATCATCTGGTTTCTTTACAGCCACAAACACAACAGAAAGCTTATTTTAAATGCCAGTGAGATTATGACAACTGTGCACACAATTGTACATCTTACATCTGCAAAATAAATCTAAGGCAGCAGCAAGGTAGCTTAGCTAAGCAAAAAGGCTGAAAACAGAGGGGAAACTGAAGGTGAGGGGAAGAACATACACCTACTAAGACAGCTTACTAATTGATTTAAGTTGTTTACATATTGTCGAACAATACCTGTGTAAAGCTTTCGAAGTGCTGGTAGGATGGTTTTGTTATTTAAAACTGAGCTGGGCTAGCTTTAGAACACTGTATTCAGTCTTTATAGCTTACCATCTGCTGCTTGTGGCATTGAATATAAGTGGCAAATATGAAAGAGGGAAGCAAATGTTCACCTTTGACTCATAACAAATGGGAAACTTTTAGATCCTATGGTGGCGATATTCTTCATCATTCATTTAAAAGTATTTTGCTCCTAGATGAGGAGCCGTGTAAACAAAGACAGGGAGGCCAGACATCCTTTGCAAACCACAGCTAAGTGTTGGCTTAAAAAAAAGAAAATAGTCTAGTCGGTTAACCAGCTTACCCACTATCATGTGCTTGCAGTGCTGGCAGTTGGTGGGCTTGCGGAACACATGGTCCTGGAAACAGTGGGTGATCTGAGGCCGGGGAGGTTTGGTGGGCAATGATGGGGAGAGGCTGAGAGAAGGGGAGTGTGAGGAGATGGAGGGGTTGGGGCTGAGAGACGGCGAAATGGAGGGTGAGCGGTCGCTGACGAGAGGGGAGCCAGGCAGCAGCGGGGGAGAAGGAGGCGGCGGGTCCGTGATGAAATCAGGGGGCAGGCGAGCGTCACTGTAGGACCTTTGGAAGAAGTTCTCCACGCTTTTGCTGCGCATCATGGTCTTGAAGGACAGTGAACGCTTCAGTCTCTCGAGCTGCAAACACACATTGTCAGAGAGACAGAGAGAGAGAGTGAGAGAGAGTGTACGCTAAGAATAACACACAAGATAAACAAACATTCTGCGCCACATTTGGGAGCAATAACAAATGCCCAGTAGGCCCTCAGGACAGTACAAGCAATATCCTGACAAACCTAAACACAGCACTGCTCTGATCTGTACACCACGGGAAAGAGGGTGACTCATGAAATGCAATATCACCTCATAAGGACACATCACATTAAAGGCACAGCTATCTGTATGTTCCCTTTACTGAGACCAAGCGTTTGCTTCTTGTGCATTGGCCCCTGGTTAAACAAGATAAGGCCTCTCTCTTTGAGAACACCCGTGGCCATACACTAAGCACGGCTGTGTTTAACCAGGATTCTACTGGTGGTGACATCAGTGGCGCTACTGCAATGACAGGAGAGAAGAAAGTGTACACAGCCTTCTCATCCGTCAACAAAATATATCCTCAGGGCACTTAATCTGACAATGTCTGCTTCCTTGGATCGATTGATCCCGCTGCAGGTTTGCTCAAAACCAGAGCTACAGTACGCAACATGATCAGATTTCACATATTCTCTCTTATGGATACTGATGTTACCCGCCATTTCTGCTCCTTTTCAGCTGTCTTGTCCACTAAGTCTGAAAGAATTCATGATTGCTGCGTTTCAAAAGTGAAACAGTCGGACACAAAAAATGTCACAGCAGTGAATACCGTGTCTGTTCTCGGCAGCCATCTAGCACTGATTGGCCAGATAAATGCGTGTTTCCTGACATCTCCCTCCGGCTCTGTCTACAGATGATGATGCGAGTTTCCTCCAGGCTAGGTACCCATTTGTTACCCTGACACCGATTGTTACTCTGACACGCAGTGGCAGGGGGGAGAGCAGTGCGAGGGCGTGGTCGTGTCGCAAGGGGGAAGAATAGATCAACACAGACAGACAAGCAGACAGATCGTCAGCGGGCCAAAGACATTCTGTGTGCACATGCTCTGTCTGCCTGTCTGCACCCTCTCTGCTCAACGCCAAACATAATCACCTTACAGGGACATGCTGTTTACAGCTCTGCGCGTCTGGGAGTAAGATATGAAAACAGTTTGTCTATTTGAGTTTGTGTGTGTGTGTGTGTGGATGTGTTTGTAAAAGGCCCATTGAGGTAGCGCAAGAGAAACATAAAGTCTTTGAAGGGTCCACTGCACCTTTAGATCTCTATTAAAAAATGTAGAGAATGTCAGTTTGACTAGGATTTCTAGATTTTATTATTTAATCAAGATTTAGAATACTATGTGTAAACTATAGCTCTAGCATTTGTCTACAGCAATTATCCTAAAGTGTTGTTACAGTTTATGAGCAGTATATCTTTGGTGGTCTTTTAGCATGCAGATGGTTGGGAAAATTGGATTCAAGAGATTTCTTACTCTGCTATATGGCTGGGTGTGTTTACACTCGTTTATGATTCTTACATATTACTTACTTATTTACATAAGTTGAAACAAAATGTCAATCTTTATCACGTCAACAACAACTCATATATCACGACAAGGTTTGTTTGAAGCTGTTTGATGTGTAAAAAATGGCACATTCCTTATTTCAGGTACGCAGGGATGGAATTTTGATCATCTTACATTTTTGACGGCAAACTTGATCTGCTGAAACATTAAAGCGGTGTGCATTGTTTCATTTATGTAACGATGATTTTTACACTCCTCCCCACGTCTCCTGTGCAGCATCACAGTTGTCAGCCGAGGTCTCTCCATCAGAGCAGAGTGGTGCTGGCATAACAGCTCGGCTGGAGTACATGTCTCAATTACAGCTAATCTAATGACATGTCAGGGTGTGAGCCTAAAAAGCATTCCCGTTTGCCTTCCCTTTGAACATTAGCTGAGAGCGTCATACTTCTGAGTCAAAGCCGTGTGATAGCACGCTGTATTTGGGTCATCAGTAAACAGTCTACATTCAGCTGCATAATCTCACATTCATGTCTGTGACAGGTGAAATACCGATATTGATGGAGATGAGTCTCCATCAATATCTCCTCACATGTGACCCAGTTTTTGATGTACGATGTGGACTCCCATGTCTTATTGATCTGCTGCAATTTTATGACAATGCTTGTCAAGTACAGAGGCTCTTACTCAGTCTGTCTTTTCTCTCCTCACTGTGAAATAAATAAAACCTTTCAACTGCAGAAAATGCTTTTTCAGAAACAAAGAATATGGGCTTGCTGAAGCCTGCATATATTTCTCAGTTAACACGTTATTTATATAATTCCCAATTGACTCACAATGCTATGCAAACTCATGACCTGGCTTGCAGTTACACGCACCTGCCTAATCAATAGTCCTCAAGCAGCAGCAAATACACTGTTGCAGACCGGTTAGAAAAGGCTGCCTCTGTGGACCTGTAGAAAGCCCATAATTCTCACATCTTCGATCCATACCAACCTCCTGTCATCCTAACATGTAGCCATAAATGTCCAAAATCAATGTTCCATGGAGGGAAAGGGTTTGAGCAAATATAAGTCAATGTTAAATGATATGTGGCTCCTTCTCCCTCCAGCATAATCTCATGAGGCCAGGGGCCGGGTGGAGGTACATACAGGGATGCTCCCACACGTCAAGAACAACAAAGGCTTAGTACCAATGGAAATGTGACCATAAATAAAGCCTGTGGCCATAATATGCTTCAGAGTGGACTGTTTTATTGGATTCAACCAGCATACTGAACATTTCAAAGGAACACTCAAAATGTTAACCCGGAGGAGTTACTCGTCGTGCCTTAATTTAAAGGCTGCAGAGGTCAAATTATGAACCCTGTAAAACTTAATTTTGGAATTCAGTGCAAAGGTCTGTGTGCATCAATCAATTGTAGTATCTTTACAACAATCAATTCAATTCACAAACATGTTGTCGGCAGCAGAAGAAAGTGCAGCAGAAATAGGGCAAAAAAAAAAGAAAACAGCCACTACAACAGATACACAATTCCACTCCAGTCTAAGTGCTATAGCCTACCCAGTGACCTATAATTGCAATATTTGACTGACTGTGTCCTGTTATTTCCACTTACCAAATCCCCCCCCCCCCCAATCATGTCCCACCTTAAAGGCAAGTCACATAAAAACGTGTCTACAATTATTTTTTTTTCTTCTTCATTGCAGGCGTCACAGTGTCCGACCTTGTTCTTAGTCAAGATAATTTAGCATCATGGAGGATAAAACCTGTGTGGTCCTGCTGTGAACGACACTGTTCACTATCTCCGTCCAATTCTAGTTCATCAGTGGAATATGTGCTTCCAGAGGAAATAATTACCCTCAGTTACTAGGCACATGGTTTAAATGGGATGTAATTATGTATATCTTCGCTCCCTGTGTGGCTTCAATTGTTTTGTGCAGAATATGTAAACCTGGAAGAAGGAGGCAACAAATATTTCAAATCTAAAAGAGTTTAAAAAAGAGAACCTTTTTATTCTGGAATGACAAAAATCACAGCCAGAGACAAGAAACATTTTTTTTTTTTAATAAAAACTGAAAGCAAAGCATGCTAAAAGCTTTGGTCTTTAGGTTTTCATCATTACATGTCCTGAACTTTCCCCACTAAAAATGAAGTTTGACATTATGCACCGCAGCATGGCAGAGTCTCACTCTGAACACAGGTAGTGGGTGAATAATCCTGGATGTTTCTATTGTTTTGTACCTAACACACATGCACTAACATACACAGCTACTTGCTCATACCGCTCCTCTGCCCCTCTCTGATTGTTTTACAGCTGAAAGGCACTATGAGAAATACTAGTGTGGATTACAAGCACTTTCCTCCCCACACTCAGCTAACTCCAAAACCCAGCTTTGCCCTGGCAACTCATTTTCACTCACCCAATCACTGTTCACACGCACACGCACACGCACACGCACACGCACACGCACACGCACACGCACACGCACACGCACACGCACACACACACACACACACACACACACACACACACACACACACACTGCAAACACAACACAGTGGCTGTTCCTCTTGGGCTGGGGGCTATTTCTGAATGAGCATCAGCGATGACGAAAAACAAATCCCCATAACAAATATTCCCTGTTACACCAGTTTTATTTTTAGCCAATTCTTAGCCTTTAAGTGTCCAGTATTTTCAACAGCTCACACCTTTCCTGTTGTGTCATTTTAATAAACATCACAGCGGTGAAGGTGTTACATTCATTAATGAAGACCGTCGCCCCCTTAGGCCTCCCTCTGCAACTTACTCCCCAGCTCACATCACTCAGAGCTGTGTCACCAGCCCTTCATCTGGAGGGGAAGTGAAGGGATAGTTAATGAGATTAAAAGAGTGGGCGGTTTTGAAGAGATGTCAAGGAAGAAAAACTCAGAGAAATGACAGCGGAGATGCCTCAACTCACCTGTTTACTTCATTAGCAGCACTTAAGCTGTGTGACTCAAGGACACTACTATCACATGGATTCCTATGAAATACTGAACAAATATCCAGGTCACCCTGAGGATGAAATCTAACTGAGCTTCTCTAGCACCATTAACAGTTCAAATGTACTCTTCTTTTAAGTATCATGTACACCATCTTATTAAATCCAGTATCACTACAAGACAATAGATGATGATACTGAATTATACTCAGCTTTCATTGCACATAAATGCAACCTCACTGGCCCATTTTACACAGGAAACTCTATCCCCCCTGTGTCCGCTTCCACTTGGATTATAATAACAGTACAAGGAAAAGTACAAAACAACTACCTTTTCATAAATTTTACAGATTAAGCCACCATCATGGATTAAACTACCATCACGCAACAGCCTGTGTTGCAGTGTAAGAAGAACCAATATTTAGACATAACAGCAGACTGTGAGCTGCAGCCAGACATCAGTCCCACACTGTAGGCAATACAAGTGACCTTTTATCACTCATTATGTTTTCAAAAAGAGCGAATCGAATGAGGAGGACTCGTGGAATAATCAAAAGAGGACACAGGGATGAATTGTAAGGTTCTCATCACACTGTGGGCAAGCTGTCAAACAAGCCAATCCTGCAAAAATGTATTATTTTCAGGCTTAACTGTGTGCTTAGAGATTGCGTCATGTATTAATCTTGGAAAAATACAGGTCTACTCGTGCACTTCCATTAAAGTCAAGGCTCCCACAGCATCTCCAGCTCTGAATATCAAACAGGTGTGGAGGGACACTATTTCCTGATGATTGCTGCTCAGGCGTCTCATCTGCTCCACCACTCCCATTTTTTTCCCCAGCCTTTGCACAGACCACAGGACATTTTTGGGAGAAAGTCCATGCTTTGTTTTCTCTTAATCCTCTGGCACTGTTTCCCTCTGTTCCTGATCTCTGATATCCATCTTTGTGGGAAATTTTCAGCTGGTGGATTTCATAGAGCATCTGTTATCAGAGCGAGTCCCTCCCTCTCTTTCTCCGCCTGTCATGCTTATCTAATCACAAACATCATGGTGTGTGATTAGATTCTTTCAAACATTACACCCTTATTTTTTATTTTAGGAATAGTCTTAATCAAGTGTTTAAAGTCAATAAATGTAGACGTGCATGTTTTTTTGGCTTTGTAAATGAGAAACAAACAAAGTGTATTTGAGCCACACAACAGTTGACTGACGACTGCATGGTTTGAGGAGGCCGTCTCCTCTTCTCTGCATGTTAGCTTTTAACCCAATTTTTCTGCATACAACTTTTAATAAGCTCCCATGTGCTTTTGAATCCTCCCACACTCCAAACCTGAAGTTCATACGTTTTTTGAAATCAACCTTTCAACTGTACATCAAACATCTTTGAGGTTCAAGTCAAATCTACCTCACACAGAGTACTGGCATTCAACCTGTGCAGCCTCCATCGATTGTTGGAGCAGAGGGAGGAAGCTGAGGAAGAGAGCTGCTGATTGGATGGCCAGACTGATTAGTTCGTAGAATAAATGAAGAAACGCTTGTGATGTGGTGAAGCCGAAAGCAGAAAAAGGAACAGTGTGAATACCAATCACCCTGCTTGGCACAGGGGAAAAGGTGGTAGCAGGTGAGGAGTGGAGAGCAGGAGTGGACCAGACTACAGAGAGAGCAATGGGGACTTTTATGCTTCCCCCAGCTGCCTCACATATTTAAATGAAACAGAGACAATCTGCTGCTGATGTAGCTGACTGAGCTTCGAACATGTGTGTGTATGTATGTGTGTGTGGGTGGTGACACAAGGTGCTAGTAAGAGACTCACCTGTTAGACTCTGTCGATGGAAAGTTATAGAAACTTGAGGCTTAATGAATGATCCTTAAAGGCTTTAATTAAAAACTTTCACAACTTCGATTCTTGGATACATTCAAGTCCACAAATGGACCACTGTAAGGACTTAGTTAGTCCCCTTTAAAGGATCTAATGCTGAATATCAGCCACAAAGGGGTTTATGTTACGAATAGGTCCTGCAGCAACAAAATCACAAAGCAAATCATTCATAATAATGATAATGTTTCAGCAAAGCGTTAGTTATAGAATAAATTATTATATGTGAGATGCATTCCTTAAATGTTTATGTAACAGTGCAAACTGCAGTGTGTATGAGGGTCCGGTATTGGTCTGTGTTTGCAGGAAGTAGGTTTGGTTAGGGGAGAAAGAAAGGGGGGAGACAGGGTGACATCAGACCTTACGTGTGGTTACATCCAGTGACGCACTCATGATGCTTACAACTGCAATTGTGAGGTGTCATCAATAATGCATACACCCATGGGAGAATACATGAAGATGAATTGAACTTTAAATATTTAAACTATAAAATGACAGGTTGAAAAATAATAGCAGGCAGAAAAACGACTTGTCTGTCGGTATGTATGAAACTACTTTTAAACTTCATCGTGGGTCGTATTTCCCTCGTTATGAGATTCCAGTTTTCGCCGTTGGACAGGATTTTTAAGACTTGAATGCATCTAGTTACAACTGAAAAACAAAAACTTCAAAACTGTGGCCACTTACCTTGGATGTCATCGGTTGGATGGACATGGTGCTTGGAGAGCGCTGGAGCTGCGAGTCGCTCTCCATCTCATTGTTCTCAGTCATCATTGACATCGTGAGTCGTGCAACCAACAAACAATGAAAAACACTTTACTTCCTTGAATTGTGTCCACACGGTGAGAAATGTCCAGTTATAGCCATACAAAAGGTTGACAGAGTGAGACGCAGCCACATCACAGAGATTTGCGTGCGCTGCGAGGCGGACGCCCAATAGCCATGCGTTTTGCTCTTCACGCGCAAATTAAGATATTAGGTTTATAAACGGGTTCTAAAAACACACACTCTCGACAACAGCTGTTTAAATGTTGCTCCATACAAGGACATTGATTTGAGGAATCTTGAGCCTTGCGTATTGGCAACTGGTGTCGCCTTTGGATGCGCGTCGGAAAGCTCCAAAGTGGCACAAATCCGTCCTTCAGTAAAAATCAAAAAAAGGTCAAAATCAGCATAATAACAATGTAGAAATGTCAGCTTAACATTAGAGCCAACCAAAGTCTGTACAGTGGAAGCCACTGGTTTGGTGTACATCCAAAGCGAAATGAGCCCCTCTCGGCTGCACAGACTTAAATTTAAGCGCACTGCGAGGCACGCCTTCTCGTGCGTCTGAGGCACACGATTGGGGCAATTTTTACAACTCTGCCAGGATGCATTTAGACTTAATCAAACTTCACGGTGGTGGGCGGGGGCTTATTTTTACAACCGAACATAGACCAGCTCACAATGTGGCAACAGAAAAGTATTTTCTCTGTGGTGTGATTATTGGATTTTACAACGACAGGATGTTCCGTGCCCTCGTACCACCATTTTCAGACTTAGTCTTACAGGGTGGATGATTAACTGCACAGTTAGTCAACCTAGGTGTTATCAGAAAACTACTGTGAAGGTCACAATTTGGTTTAATTAAAAAAAAAAAAAAACACAAGTAGCCTAAACAAACAAGCAAATCCAAAGTATTGACATCAAGGTGTTATAGAAGACTCCAATAAAAAATACAATATTTTTGATACCATATGAAAACATCAAATTAATAGCAGGTATATCAGGATGTTGTTACAGAACTTTCTGCATCCTATTGTATGAACCTAATAAGAGGAGAATATTCTGTTTCAGCCAAATCTGAGATAGTTTTAGCAACAGATTTACGCCTTCATTTATTCCCTGTCCATTGCCACATGTCAACTGAAGCTTTAGCCGCAATGCAGGTTCTGTTCTGCAGTTAGAGATACTTCATACTCTGTAAGGTTGTTGTAAGCAGCAGCAATAAGGCCAGAGGATTGGTGCGTCTGATTCAAATACAATCTAATTTCCGTTTATCCGTCTCCTGGGGAGGTTTTGTTATGATCCTCCTTTTTTTTAGAAGACATATAATTACACTTCAGATCAAAGAGAATGGAGCAATGGTCTGTTTTGTCACAGCTGCTGATTTTTGTTTTAATTTGAAGTGAACAAGGGGGTGATTCAATTATAGGCTAATAAATGCCATTTGAAGAGTAAGTTCTGTTCTAATACTACAATGTTCACAGTTATTCTATATGCATAGGGTGCTTCACCCTGACATCAAAGTTTAGTCGAGCCGTCACCCAAGTCTTTGCATGAAAAAGGAAAAAGACAGAAAGAAAGAGCCTCTGTTATCACATGAATTATTTCTTCACTCAGTGAGGACACAGAGGATAACAGAGTCACTGCTGAAAGAACACTGTGGAAAAACAAAGGCCAAGTCAAAAGTGTATAGCAGTGTGGCTTTGCTGGCAAAAACAAACTGAAACACAATGTCTTGCTGGGGAGCGGTGCAGTGATCTGTGATCTGATCAGTCTCTGTTAAAGACACAAAAACAGTTGGAAGGCATTCTGGAGGAGGGAGACACACTGCACGTACACTCAAGTTTTCTCCCTCAGAGCCACCCTTCTTTCATCCTCCATGTGAAACCCCAGGAGCCGGAACAACGCTGCTAAAAGTGAACATTTTAAAAGACAGAAAACACAAAGATCGCCCGGTGATTTGGAGACAAGGGGACACAAGAGGCAGGATGAAAAGGAGTCCCAAGTGGCAGAAAACACATCCCAGTGGTGACAGCGGTCGTCATGGACAGGAGCTACTGCTCTTTCCACTGAGATACATTGAAACGGATAGTTCATTCTATTTTTTTTTTCCCCTTTAGACATGTAAGCACTCACAAATACAGAGACTTGACCTATTCCATAATCTACAAAGTCTATCATGTTTGATACCACCGCAAGTTTTTGCAAGTGTGTCACAGTCATTGGAATTCAAACGAATTGATGAAATAAGATCTGAAACTGAGATACGTACAATCATCTTAAACGTTGGATTTTAATGGCCAATTTGAGCAGGAGGAATAACCACATAATGAAGTACTTTAGAGTTTATATGGTCACCTGACTTTTGTTTCAAGAAAGACCCAAAGAACTTACTTATTCTTTGTATTCATCATCGTCATCACGTTTCCCTCACGCCAGTCTTAATCTTTCAAGAGATCCAGAGAATCCACAAACCTTCCAAAGCGAGGCGTGTCCACTGATGTGTTTTGAATCTGCTTTCTTTGTTCTGTATCCGTAGAGAAAGACAACCTCATGGGCATCAACATAAATGAAGGAAAATATAGATAACTAACTTAAAACTAACTTCAACATGCAGAAGTCAGCTGTAGAAGAGCCTAAATCCAGGTGTTTTCATCATGTGTCCAGTGATGGCCTTTGTTAAAGATGTTCTTCCCCTAATGCAAGAAAATATGTGAAGAAATACTGGTGGCTACTTTAGTATTAAGCTCCTGTCGTTGTAAAAGTTGGCTCACTCTCACGTTGCCATGGCTTACTTGGACACTGGCATGTAACAGAGCCATCAGTAATGTAATTACATTTTCATTATTTATTTTTTCTGATTTACTTTTGTAAAATCTATTAATGTCTTTCACTTAAGAAGCTGGTGGATTATCCCATTTTGCTCCCTATTCAAGCAAATCTACTTGAGTGATTGAAAAGCTGATGGAGGAATCATCATAACTGGCTCACTGCTGCCATCTGCTGTTCCGTTAGTGCTAAACCACCATTACCAATAAAACCACAGCAAGTTCAACACCAGAGAAAAACAGACAAGTCTTAATAATATAGGTATATATTTATTCATACGTACATATTCATTTATATCGGTTAATTGTAAAAAAAAAAAAAAAAAAAAAAAAAAAAAAGAAAAGAAATAAAGAAAAAAAAAAAGGAAAAAAATTACAGTAATTATATTAACTACAGTCATTGTCAAAATTGTTTTTGAAATTTCTCAGGCGTCGTTTTACCATGGACTTTAACCGTTGATTTACCTTTTGCGCTCTGTCCTAATCCCCAGCCAGACTCGAGTGTTTTGGAAGGGACTACAACAAACAAACTAGTTGAAGACTTATTTTCTGGACTCTGTAAACGTGGGTTAGTGTGATAGAAGGATACAGACGTATTTGATACAAGGATGAGAAATCAATGAGTTGTTTTGCTTTGTCGGGCATGTAGTGTATATTGTACCATGAAAAGACTGATGACAGGTTATTTCTTTTCTTTTTTTTTTTCACATATGAAACCATCAGGAGTTGGTTGAGTATTAGAACCTGTAATCAATTTAAAGTGTTTGCTGTCAAAGCACACGTCGTCAGCCACAACAATGACTCGGCCTGTACCATCGGAAGTGTCAGAGGAGTGAAAATTGTTACAACCAGATTTCTATTATAAGTCCTTGGACTTTCCTTTTTCCTCCAGTTCATTGTGTTAACCCCGGAGCACAGTGACAGAGCACATTAGATATCTCCGCCATTTTGACTCTTAGTTGTTCTCTAATCCCCATAAAGCCTCATTCAAACAAAACAGATCAGACTGGATTACACTGGATTCATCTCAGCTTGTATTATCCGTCCTGCTGTAGCTGTCGTATCACAAACTGAATAGAGTCATCATAGAGTCTTTTGCCTCTTGGCATGCATCTTTAACCAGAACTGGGACATTTGAGAGTGATCAACATTCCACAATGGGTTTTGGCCTTGTATTTGAGCAGGGTGCATTATGGGAGGGGAGTATTTCAAAAAGCAAGGCATTAAAATCAAGATGAGGAGAGCACGCTAACGGGAGAAAAATCGGATTCTGCTAAAGTGGCACACGATGCCTGAAAAGCCATCTCCAGGACTTCTCCTTGATGGAAACATTCAATAGGAAGAACCTACATCATACATACATATCATCATAATCCTGAAATCCTCCTGAACTCACATTTAAAAAAATCCAACTCAAATTTTTTACATTTATTACAATTGCACTGGTGCCAACACTTCCCCCAGACAAAGGCTACACTCTGGACATTTAGTAACAATAAACTCTTAATAAAAACACAAACACCTTCAGATCAAAACTGAGGACTGGACGAGGACTCAAACTCAACTTGGAGACAGTGAACTTGTGACTTCAAACACAAAGCAGGCGCAATCCAAACCACACCAAAACAGAAAAGCAAAAGAAGAGAAAACAGTGGAGATCCAGGAGGAATCAGACAGAAAAGCAGAAAAGGACACATTTATAAAATGAACGCGGAAGAAAGAGAGACACAGAGTAAAGCAGGTGCAAGTGCAGGGGAAGGTAATCCATAAGAAAAGGCTTCAATACTTCATAGGGCAGGGGGGGGGCCGAAGTCCATGGCAGCCCACCGTTGCGACAAAAAATCATTCCATCATATCTGTCAGCAGGCCAGAGTGTGTGCGCCAAGATTCAAGATCCAGTTGACTTCCTCTTACAATGACTTCACCAGTCGGATCTGGTCTTTACCTCCAGCAGTGGAACTGGTCCCAGACAGACGGAGGAAGTCAAAGATGGCAGGGTGCAGCACTCTGTCACTCTATCCCCCCTGCAAGGCCTCAAAAGGAGTTGAGGAGTCGCTGATGCCACTCAGACATTGGACACGCCCTCTCATCGCTGTCCATGATTCGCCGGATCCTTGTCAGCAGAAGCCTTATCGATGTGAAGACGAGCGACTTAATGAAATCAAACCAACTGTAAAATAATTATCATTACTTTGATTGTTTTTAGTTGGCTTTTTCTTTCCATTGTCTTGATCTGACAGCAAAGATTCATGTAGTGATGTCAGACTTTCTTCTTTTTCTGTCAAATGAGGTTTTTTTTTTTTTTTTTTTTTAAATAACTTTTCTGTTTTTGACATGAGCTTTAGCAGGCCGGCATCAGTTCCTCTGTCAGACTCCAGATACAGAACCGGCTCAGTTTGACTGTCCAAAGCTCCAGCACGTACTTTATCAAGCATGTATGCTATTTTGTTATTCCCTCAGGAAAATCCATCAACAGCAGTCTTATATATCGTCTTCTGTTGCTTCGCTGGCTTTGACTCTAGGACTCCACAGTCCTTATATATTTACAGTTAAACTTTAAAAAACTAGAGGTGTCACATGCAACATTTGGCATCTTCTCCAGCCCCCACTTGTAAGTTTTACTTGGTGTCCATTTTTTAAAAAAATATTAAACTTTGTCTTTTTTTCTTCAGTATATCGCAGCTTCTGATTGTAACAGAGAGACGGAGGGGAGGTGAGGGTACAGGTGTTGCAAGCTCAGTGTATGCATGTAAGTGAAGTCTTCAATGCCAGTCTTAGATTTAAGGATAGGGCTGTCTTTGTAAAGTGTCTCATCATTGCTTAACTGGAAGTGCGAAAAGGTGCAAGTCTACTTCAAAAATAAAAAAAATAAAAGAATCAGAAAAATATGCTTCCTGCTGCTTTCTATGTGTGTGTTTGGGGTGTTGAAAGTTTACTTTCTGCGATGCTTCCCCTTTTTGAAATGAACAGCCTGCAGAACAAAGCTAACAGAGGTCTAGAGTGCAGTTCTGGTCTGGAGGTAGCCGTTAACTGACCTTAGACACTGAGGGAAGTACGTGTGAGAAGAAGGATTTCTTAACCTCTTCAGTACAACTGGAATCTGTCTCAAAGTGCTTAAAAAGTAAAGAGTATAACTCCCCCTAAAATATGAAGCGGTTGCTTTTTATGTTGAAGTCTTGTTTTGTAATCCTTTGAACTAATCTTTTGAACTTCACTCAATGAAGAGTAAAATCCCTTAACAGTGGCGATCACATTTGATTTCTACATAACCCTCTTTGTCTTTGTAATACTGGCTAGTCCTGTGAACACCGAGCAGGAATGTTCAGACATTCTTCTTAATATGTGCATGTGTCTGCATTTCAGCTTGTGTAAAAGCTTGTTGTGTACCTCGCGGTGGCCATTTCTGTGAAGGTTTTGGGGAAAGTTACCAGAGGTCCTGTAGAGTTATTTGGCTCTCTCCCTCTCTCTGCAGCTCCAAAGGGGGGGGGGGGGGGGGGGGACACACACACATACACAAGCATGTACTTTTTTCGACAGAGGGGGGCCAGGAAGGGTACAGCAGGTCAGGGTTCAAGTGACGGGCTGTGGGGAGTGTGTACTAGGGACACAGGGTGAGGAAAGGGGGGGTTGTTGTCTTTACATCATAACAGGACACAGCAGCGACAAAACCTCTGACGGCTGCCCCCAACTGAGGGGGGCGGAGTGATGGGAGCGAAGTATGCATGCACTTTGATGTTGGGCAGATGGGTCTGTGGAGGGACAAGAAGAAACAGATGGAATTATGTTAGTAGATAATACGAATACTAGGAAACCTGTATTAAGTAGCTGTCACATTAGTATTTATGTTAAGGGCTCGAAATTTACTTTTTTGCTCAGCAGCCACTGTGGCTAGTGGTCTTTCAAAGTGACTAGCCATTCAACAATTTAACTAGCCACAATTTTGTTGTTTTAAATTCTGACAGATTAATATGCCATGCTAAAAATGTACTGGAACTTTAGCTTTATAACCCTTATAAATGTCAAAGACCGCTGAACACACCTAAACCTCCACCTGACTGCCACTTTTTCGTGTTTACTCTTTCTTTGTCTCGTCTTCCTTTTCAGTGTCATCGTCCGCTTTTCTTTTGTGTGTTGCCTGCTCTCCGGGTTTTGTTGCACTCTTTTATGCACAGGACAAGACCTACAGTGACGTTGGTCACTAGCGTGCTAGCGCAAGGAAATAGGCTTGAGGGATGGACAAATGAGCAAACACTGTGCAGGTAATGCTCATAGGAGTTGTAGTCTCATAGTGTCACGTGGCATTTACTTTAAAATTACATTCTTTTCTAGACAACAATTTTAAAAATGTATATAAAATGTATTAAAAAAAAAAAAAATCAACCTGACAAAGTGGCAAGTGGGAGTGACTGTGTTACCAACACTGCTGAAATCTACCTGAAATATTCTGACTGATTATATTTACTGAATTGATCATGACCAAAACTGAAGACAGACTTGAAATCTAACTCAACTAAGAAATGATCTCTGTGGACACTCATTTATGTCAAAGTCTGGTCACACAAACGTTTTCATACGGGCTGTCAAACCATTACATTTTTAACAGCGATAAAAACTGAAATTCCATAGTTAATCATGAGTAATCTCATTTTTGATTGCATGTTTGAAATTCCATTATTGTTTTTATTATTATGTATTATTGTATTGTCTTCAGCTACGGGTACTTTACTTCCTGTTTGGATACGAACCCGCTTTTATTTTAAAAGGAAATTAGAAACATCTGGTAAGATGGAAAGTTACAACATAATAACCACTGAAAGAAACGAGTTCCACTTTGAAAAGTCAATGAAAAAAGTTATTATAAATGATTGACTCATCAACTGAGCCGTTTTTTTGTAAGTGTAATAAACTATTCAAAGGTGCAGTGGTGGCGTTCTTTTCCATCACCATGGCTACAGGGAGACGATTAAACGCTTTACTGCTGACAGCGTAAGTGATGACTCATCACTTCTTGTGGGTCCAGCGGTGACTCCAAAATAGAAGACTGAGAATATTTGAGCTTAACTTCAGCCTCCTTCATCGTCTATGTTTGCATTGAAGATATCCCTCTTCAGAAGTGAACTGTGTAACCACAGAGTGTGTCGTTCTGCTTATCATAGTCCACTAAAACACTTCTTCCTCTTCTGGAGACTGGAACACTACAACATGAGGATAATGCTCAGGGAAACTGCTGTTGGTTAAGAGCTAAACTGCACCAGCCTTTGCTCTTACATAAATATTACAGCATTGAGCAATCACTGGCATACAAAACAAACTGCTACTGCTGCTTTGATCCACCATCTTTAAGTGGACCTGAGGTTCAGTTGAAATAACACAGACTTCACAGAAAAAGCTGTTTCTTCACAGACATCTGACATAAAATACTGTCAACTATCTAAGAACCTCCCTTTCACTGATCAGAGTTTGTATTAACTGGAGACTTTGGAAGGGTTTGAGGCGCTTTCTTCGAAAACAATTTTTTTTTTTTTTTTTTTTTTTTTTACATCTGTGTTTATACGCTTGTCATCTTTTTTTTTTTTTTTTTTTAAACCTTTTCTGTTGCATTAGTGGTTGTTTTTCTTTCACCTCAAAAGTGAGAAACCTTGGATAGAAATGTATTATCTCATCAGAACTGCTACATGGCGCTTTAGGAGTTAAAAAAAAAAACAGGGTACTTTAAGAGGAACCCAATGTTTGGAAGGGGTGGGTTTAACATAACACTGTGATCTGTAGTATGACAGTGTTGATTGCTACAATTGGAACATTGGTAACACATGAGAATTGTACCAAAGCAGCATATTTTATGTTCCAACAATGGGCATTTACAGTAGATTCTACGTATGAATCAGAGATGAGTCACTGTTGTTCGCCCACACTACTCACCCGTAGTCTCTTGATGCCGGCGCGTGTAATCTGCTGGCAGTCGTAGAGCTCAATGCGATCCAGACTATGGCAGCTCTTCAGGTGCTCCAATGAAGCGTCTGTGATCAGGGGGCAGTTATCCAGCTCTATCACCTCCAGACGGTCGTGAGCACAGGGGCCGCTGCCGAGGTGTCTGATGCCATCATCAGTAATCAGCTCACAGTGAGACAGACTCTACGGGAATACAGTGCAACAACACAACACTCCTTTACTTAACCGTCTGCTTCAATGAACTGTGACTTGTTGCTTGTAAACGCTGCTGAGGCGCCTTAATAATGTTTAAGTGACAGGCACACACTCACCAGGACTTGCAAACGAGGGCAGTGGATAGACAGCTGAATGAGGGTTCCATCTGTGATCTGTTGCAAAATGTCAAAAAAACAAAAATGTAACACCTGCAGACTCCAAACAAAAACATATTATTTTTGTATCTCTGACTACTTATTCACCTGAACGCATTCCTCTAAATCCATCTTCTCGAGTTCATGACAATTCTGCAGCAAGAAAAGAGGCACTTAATAGAGAGAAATATCCTCCTCTAATGGACGTTTGGGGAGACTTTTTTTTTTTTTTTTTAAGACAAGCTTTAAAACATCTGAATCTGTAAGCAAAGAATGCAACTGTCAGATGTCGACTTACTCTTGCTAGTGTAGTGAAGCCCACGTCTGTAAGCTGAGAGCAGCGGGCCACTTCTAATATTCTGAGGGGACAAAGAAAGGAGCAGAGAGTTTAACAATGACATCACTATCAGTCTGTCACTATTTGGGACTTGATTTGAATCTAAGGAGGATGGTTTGAGAGAAGGTTTTATTTAATCTTCTTTACAGTCGTCTTCACAGAAGGATGCGATAATAAATCAAATATTATTATATAAAAGGCATTTAAATCCTTCTATGCAAACCATTTATCTGAAAATTGTCTTTAAAAAAATCCCCACCTCCAAAATGAATCATAAGGTGGATAAACGCTCGAAGTTATGTTGGCAAAACGAAATGATTTTACGAGTAATTCCCAAACTAATTACAACCTTTTTTCCAACTCTGCATCACTTTCTAGGAAGTGATGCACAGTTTAGTTCAGAGTGAGTGTATTGTGTCTGTGAAGGCGTGTAAACTCACCTGAGGCGAGGGCAGTTTTGGCCAAGCGCGTGCAGGATGGCGTCTGTGATATTGGCACAGCCGGACACACACAGAGACTGCAGGCGGTGACAACCCCTGCAAATTGTGATGAGGCCCTCGTCCGTGATCTGCTGCTCGCAGAAAGAGAAAGAGTGAGTTTGTGTGGAGTCGTAAGAGGTCCATGTGCATTGTGAGATGTTAAAACATGCCGTATTTTACTGTTCTCAATTGCAGCTTAGCACAAAGAGCAGTAAATGCATTGGCCAAAAGGAATTCCCGTACCTACTAATCATACAGAAGACGGGAACAATTTCTGGCCTAGCTCTGTTAATTGTACTTACTGAGCACGTCTGCAGGTTGAGAGTGACCAGCTCTGGACAGTGAGCCCCAATATGCTTCAGAGCCTCATCCTCTAACTTTGGAAGGGATTAGACAAAGAAAAGACACACATCAACAGAAGTCAAACCACGCTCATACAATTCAATAGCACCAAAAACTACAGCCTCTAATGACTACTAGGTTTAGTGGACATCTTTGTTACCAATGCCCATGATTTGCATTTATCTGTAAATTCTTCTTTTGTCTTTTGACAGCTGGTAGAACAATTTATGGCACTTTTTAAATGCTTACATTTTATGTGAACAGTGTTTGGCAAAAAAAAAAAAAATCGTCTGTTGCACGGGAAGTGATGCATTTTTATTTCTTTTTAACAGTTGCAGCAACTGTTTTCTTCAGAATGAAAATAAGAGGAACTTGGTAGTTGGTATGCTAGTGATCACCAATGTGATGAAACATACAAGAAAACAGAGCCACCTACGAAAGCGAAATGTTGAGCAGTAAGACCAGTGAATCTAAGTAGCCTACAAGGGAATCAAAAAATGAGTTGTTACTCTCATAAATTCAGACTGAATTAACCCTTCGCTAAAAGACCCATCAACCATACCTGTGTGCATCCCTTGAGAAAAAGGCCTTTAAGTCCAGGGCATGAACGAACCAGGGCCTGAATGCCATCTTTTGTGACCTGATCACACCAGGAGATGTTGAGCTGCTCCAGCAGGGGACAACCCTCACTGACAGGAGGAAATTAAAAAAGGACAAATGAGTGTTGGGGGAAAAAAGCAAGACAATAACACAGCAATGGGGGGGGGGGGGGGGGGTAGATGTCTAATGGAACATACAGCAGCAAAGATACTGAAATTTCAAATGTTTAATGGTGGGGAATTAACAGCCGCTGCCCTTTATGTTGTGCAAACCATGAAGAAGTATTAAGCAGAATGTTGCGCCCACATACCTGAGGGCTTTGAGTGACAGGTTTGTGATAGAGGTACAGGAGGCGAGGTCCAGGTGCTTCAGCTTTGGACAGAACTTACTGAGGCTATTACACGTGCTGCAATGAGAGAGAAACAATAAGAACTTTAACTAAAGAGAAATAGTGTCCTCTTGTATTTGCATGAAGAAACAATGCACATACCTGTCTGTGATCTTGGTGCAGCCGTTTAGACTGAGCAGCTCAATATTCCTGCAGTTCTGTGAGAAAGTCCTACGGAAGAAAAACAACGACAATGAGAATGCAGTCAAACTGAACCTGCTAGTTCTACTTCTCCTGGGTCTGCAGTAGAATGGCTGTCAGGCTCTTAGAGACTCACCTCAGGGCGCTGTCACCCACACCCAGGCAACCCCGCAGACTCAGCTTCCTAAGGAACCCTCCACACCGCTTTGAGATGTTCTCCACCACCCGGCCCTGCAACAAAAAAACAACCACTCAGCTTGCTGGACTTGCTCCTCTGCCTCCATATAATGTCAGATAAAGAGTGAAGGTTCAAGGGAAAGGTAAACAGCACATATTGAAGCTACAGGTATGAGTAAAGTAGATCTAGATTCGTCCTCACCTCAATGTCCCTCTGAAAGTCAAAGAGGTCGATTCGTTGCCAGTTGCTGCCATCCAAGGCCAGAACATTCCAGGACTAAGAGCAGGGAGGGAGAAACAGACGTTTAGGGTCACGACCTCTTTACGTCAAACAAAATCCACATGGAGAACACATCATCAAAACACACAAAGACAAACAGGAACTGCTACTCACGCATGCATACACACACCTTGAGAACACAGACTCACCCGTGAGACCTGGGCACAGCGACAGAGTGTCACCACATCCAGAAAGGAGAAGATTCTGGAAGAAAGACAGGGACGGTTCAGAGACCCCGATCCTCGCTACCAGAAGCGTTCTCTTCAAACTAGACTCTGTTCTCGGCTTATTGTCTCCCTGCATCTGCTTTCTCCTCACAGCACATGGGTGTGAGCAAATCAGCTAATTTTGTCTTTGACTGCTGTTTGCGGGATATATATGTTTACTTAAAGTAGGGTTGTGGCGAAAGAAGACACAAAATCTTTTTTTTTTAAAGGAATAAAGCTAGAAACTTACCATATTACAGTTAATGCAGCAAAAAAAAAAGTTGTTAGAACTGAAGTAGGCATGCGGCAGGTCCTAGCACAGCCTGACAGCCACACAAATCAGGCATCCCGACTGCACAGAGTCAGCAGCCACAGCACAGGCAACTTGGCTAACAAGGCTGAGGCTTGAGTTATGCCCTTCATTTTCTGTTAGCTCAGGGGGCTTCTGAGGTTTCTTTATAACCTCAAATCAATTTGATTGCTTCATAGCCTCGAGCGTCTATATTTAATTACAGTTGTTGGGAAGAAGGCACTCTGGTGGGTTAATTAAGCTGAATGTTTGCATAAGGGCAAGTGAACATACAGTCGCCTTTATGATCGTGACAGTCTAAAGTGTATGTCTGTGTTTGAGGGCGGGGCGTAGGGGAAAGAAGGTGACGCAAGGCCATGTGTGCCTCTGTGTATGTTTGGACGTGCTGATCGGTAGCGAAGGCAGGGGAGTGTAGAGCAAGCAACATGCCAGTTCAGCTTTCAAAAACCCCTGCAGACAGTCTGATTGAAGCGCTCTGAAATGTCACTCACCGTAGCAACAGCTCTTTTGGCAGCTTCTTATTGATGACCGCCTCGTCGCTGTTTGTGAACATCTGAAAAAAGGTGCAGAGGGATAATATTAGTCCTCACAGCCTCTTGTAACATGGCTGGGGCCCCCTCCACACACTATCGTATCTCAAGGACAGCCCCAGCATAAAAGCAAGGATCAGTGATTACAATCTCATCAGCTGAGATTGACCCAGTGTCAGTTCTCGGGTAAACAAAAAGGTGACAGAAGATAAAGACGACATGAGACTAGGTTTTGTGTCTTGTGAGAAATAAAATCAGCAGGATAGGACTTTGTAACGAGGCCCTCAGAACTGTGTTGGCCTCTGCTTCTGTGTTATCTTTTCTCCATGCATATTCTCTCTTAACTCACTGTGTTGTTTACACCGTTTCTACACCAGCATGTCCTGAGAGAGTACACTGTTACAATATATCTTTTGTGGCTCTCCCACGAATCACTCCAGCCTCTGCAAACAGCTAATGGATTTCCACAGGAATAATTGCTTGCCATGTGAGTGCAAATTCTGGCCTATAATCCACAGAAAAAGGCCTCAGCACACAAAGAGACAATCACTGGAATTTATTAAGACCAAGCTACTTATACAACCCCCCCAGTTATGAAGGCACCCAGGGAGCCCAAAAGTGTGGAAAATCATACATTACAAAATGCAACATTTTGAGACGATACATTTTTTTTTTTTTAAGCATCCATGCAGTCACAGATGAATGAAGCAACATTAGGCCCAAATTCCTCCATAGATTCAGAAAGATAAATCTACACCAGGGACAGGGTAATTGAGGGGTGGGGGCTTTAGTGTGTAGATAAAAGTAAAAAATACAAACAAATGTTAAGCATCCATGATACAAAATAAATAAAATATTTATGTAATGCTTTCTAATAGAAGAAGTAATAAATGGGTCCTGACAGAGCATATCTTCTGCTACCGGGTGCCACAACTGAAACCACATTCATTATAATTTTTGATTTTTCTGGACTTATACACTTAAGCAAAATGTATTCATCAGCTCACGGAAAAAAACTGACAGGTTTGCCTGTTTAAAAATCCAGTCAGCTCTGTGTCAAAGCCTCTCTGTGTCTCTCTGATAAACATGCATACTCTACATACACACACACACACACACACACACACACACAGCTGTCTATTCAGGGGCTGCCTGCCAGCACAAACGTGTAAAATTTTGAGGGAGTAAGAAGGGACAGACATTTCGCTTTTGGATTTGGGGCAAATTTACTCTGACAGCTCGCCTTCAACGGCGCAACTCTTCGGCCAAATAATCCAGAGCCATTTCCAAAGAACCAGATGCGCTTAGTCAACGGGCATACACTGTCCCCTTTTGTACTCTAACATGAAATGAACCTGATGCTGCATGAATGTGAGCATTATGTTTTCTCCACTGGTCAGCTATAGTCAGTGAAGCAGGCCTGGCAGGAGGTAAAAGCTGGGTGAGCTGTAACCTCCAGCTAGAGATCATTGTAAAGCAAAACAGTGTGATAATATCTTTAGAAAACGGTTTTATGTTGTCAACTGAAAAGACCCCATCCATACATTAAAATGAGATCAGTCGTACAATTGTTACTGCTATTTACAAAATTAACACTCATTTAATTGGTAATTTAACTGAGTTTGAGATTTTCAGTCCATCCTTCGCAATAACTTCTTTTTTTCGTCTTTAGATAAACAGGTTGTTTTGTCTACAGCTTTTATTAGTTGCTTTGAAGTCTCAATAAACAAAATGTTGCATATTGTAGTGATGTAAACATCATTACATTTACCATTTACACATTCCTTCAAAGTAAGAAATACAATTGGGCTTTATTTATGCCTGTCATCTTTCAGAGGGCTGTAGTCTTTTGTTTAGGGCTGGTATGCAACAGATCAGTATCTACTGCAGAGAAGTAAAGTCAGAGATAAAGATCGTTTCTGGCAATGCCTGCCAAAGTAAAATTCCAGCAGACCACATTCAGCTAGCATAGGGTTTTGTACATTTGCTCCATATTTTCATGACCTAAGGTAACCTCTTTACCTTTGGTCAAGAGCTTTCTTTGGTTAAGCTTTGTCATCTTATCTACTTAAGTAATAACCAATAACCAATGAAAGCTGATTTCAAATTAACAACAACATTTTAAGGAGATTTCTAAGACATGGAACAAATGTAGTTATATAAGATTAGAACATTGTCAGAATTGTTATATTAACTGGCATGAATAAAATGAGGCTTTCAATTGAAAATCAAATGAAAATAATAATATATAAAAGTGTGATTATCAATATATGTAGGCCTATCTTTAAATTAATATATTGTTCTTTAAAAAGATCAGAGGCTTTGTATGTTTGTTTTTTTTTTTTTTTAAATGCCACCACTTTTCATGTTTACCGATGCTTAACAAAAGGACGATCTTAATAATTTACACAAAAAAAGTTACGCAAGTAAAAGGTTCCCCAACAACGAAGTGGCATGACAGTTCACTTTTATTCTGAAGGCGACATCGTGCCATTTCCGCTTTCCTCGTTTTCGTCATCCAGCCGCTTGACGGTCGTTCTCCACCGCAGCTGTCGGGCCAGAAGGTAACGACTGAATCTTCTGAGTCCGTCAGCTGTTGCACCGTTAAAAATAAATAAAACCAGACACAAATCCCACGCTAGCAGGGGATTAAACAACACCAAGTGCTCATGCTACACAGTCCAATGTCACTGGTCGGATACAAAGTGGTTTTTTTGGACAACTTTTCACCATAATATTAAGCTGCCTGCAGCTTCGACACAGACTTAATGCTAATGTTGCAAAACAACAACACTGTAGCCTATGCTTGTCTTCATATTGCCCCTTTTCCAACAGTAGCACACAGGTAGTAAATGTTACTTAATGCCAGCTTCGGGATATTTGTTGAAAGTTATGTGCTAATATGAGGTGCATGAAGCAGTCACAACCAGAGGCCCCCCCCCCCCCTCCAAAAAGCGCAGCGGCCATGGATAGCCTGTGCAATAATACAAATGAGGCATTACAGACAACCGAACAAAAAGGTCGTATAAAATAGCATATCACATCCAAGAAGATATAAGGACCAATAAAATAGCTAAAGCGTCTCTTGCAGTCAACAAGTTCCCTTTCCAGAAAATAAGATGAATGTGCGGCGGTGCTGTCCTCGGCGTGCTCTCGTTAGCCTCTTTGTTTTGACGGCGCATAGGAAACGAGGACGATAATTTAGGAGCTTTAAAAAAAAAAAAAACACCCTGACTTTTTTTTTGGAAACTGTACGACGTGCAAATGACAACTTCTTGTCCATAACGTAGGAAATGCCGGGCAGGCCCTGTGCTAAATGTTAGTACAGAAAACAACAGCGTTTGACCTAATCCCAAAACATTTGACTGCGGAAGAGAGCTACATCAACAGCCTCACTATAAGCGCAGTTTTTTTTTTTTTAAATATATACAGAGACAGTAGAGCTGTAGGCCCAGACCACAATGTTTTTTTTTTTACGTTAAACGTGTGTCAATGGATGTCATCATTGTCAGTAAACACGAATAGTCAACTCACCTCAAACCGACTCCGCGAAACACCATTTACCTCCTTCCCCATGGTCGGACGCTGGTTACCGACTCAATGAATTCGGTGTAGGCGAAGAAGTGAAATGCAGATACGGGCCCTCTTCCGTCCGTTTCCCCTCCACGACTATCATGCTACCGTCCTCTCGGTAGCTCTCCTGCGCTTCGTTGTGGTTATGTTTCGGCCTGTAACACACACGGCAAAGACCCCCTTTGGTTGTTTTCTGATAAACATGGGCTGCTACAGTCAGCAGCAAGCCAATAAGCCAGTTGTCTTATCTGCTCGGTTCGCCCTCACCTCCTCCCTCCCTCCCTCCCTATACAGCTTTCCCATCCGTCCACACAATAGACCCGACAGGAATAGGACCTGGCAGCCCCAAAATGGAGCTGTAAATGCTACTACACCTGCATCACTTGGAAGTAAATATGCAAAATTGCGTGAAGATGTGAATTGCCCGAACACACTTCTACTGCCCTGGCGGATTGTTTGACTAGGCTGTAACTCACTTTGCGGAGTATAGCCTATAGGTTAAATATCAGAGTGGGGTGGGGGGTCCGCCTTTTGGGAATATGAATAAAGGGCAAGCATCACTGATTGATTAGAAAGTTTGATCCCAGATTAAATTAAATTTGACATAAAGAAAGTGAATAAGAATTAGGCCTATAAGCTTCAGTCAGGATATAATGTGGATGTAGTCAATATGCTCCCCTCCTTTAGCCTAAGTTGAATAAATAGTCTAGTCGTGTGTAGGCTGCTTTATAATGTACTTAAAGGCCCTGTCGTATAAATAAAGGGCCAAAAGCGCCCCCTATTTATTTGTTTTTTTCACAGCACGACTCGATTACGATAGTATAGCTTAAGGTTTGGCCCTTTTATGACATATTAACCATTCAAACGCAATAAACTGTATGTTCAATTTGCTATTATGATTCATTAACATACATTGTAACTTTGTTAGTAGTCCGAATCGCCACTTCCGCGTTTCTCGTTGGCCATGCCCCACTTTAGACATTTGGTCCAATCAGAATCCAGGGTGTATACTCGTCATACTGCGTAATTATAAATGGGCGTATCCGCATGACAACAACAACAACAGTTAATGTCAATGAGCCATAGAGCTAATTAAATATATCTCATGAGAGGTTTTTTTTTTTGTGTGCTTCCCATGTATTTCTCTCCGCTGTGACAGGAAAGGTATTTTGTTTGAATGCCTTTTATAGAAACTCGTATGTTTAATGTAGCCTTTTAATGCTGTGACAAGCAAAACTGTTTTGCTCTCTTTAGAAGAAAAAAAACTTAATTTAAATTATCATTTGTGCTATCTCACATTTATGCTTTAAAAAATGTATTGTAAGTTAACTGACATGATTAGCAATACATTGTCTTACCTATTTTTTTCCCATTTAATAGTCATTAGGCTGAGATTACTGCTAGTATTTCAGTGACAGTACAGTGCTTTCGCCTACAGTGGGATGCCTTTCTTGGCAGCTTTCCTTTTAATATAAACCCAGATTCACTAAACTTTCAGAGTTAAAATGAGTGGTTACTCAGATTTGACTCCAGTTACAACTGTTTTACTCATAGTTTTTCTTTTTATATCTATTTATATCTGCACCTTATTTTTATTTTTTATTTTTTATATGTAAATACATGCTGCTGTTTTTATCCTGCACTACAACGAGCCAAATGCAACGAAATTTCGTTCTTATCTGCACTGTAAAGTACAAGTTTGAATGACAATAAAGAAAGTCTAAGTCTAAGTCTAAGTCTAAGTCTTATCAAAATAACCCTTGGATTTATTAAGTAGCCTATAGTCTAGAAGCTTCAATTTTAGGCTATTTCTGTTTTATTCGTAGTAGAATCATTAGGCTATGTGTATTGTATTATTTACTAAATGAATAAAAATGTACAATTTTTAATAAACCTACGTTTAATTTAGTTTTTTAAATGTTAAATCAAGGCTACTTGCTCTACAGATTGGTTTCTTAAAATGTGAGGCAGAAAAGAGACTTTTAGTGCAGTTTGAAAAAAGCCCATCATCAAGTCAATACCGAAAACGTAGGCTGTAAACCAGGATCTTGCATAAAGGGCCTTATCATGTCTGTTGATGGAGCTACATTTTACATATCTATCTAATTTTACGCTTGACAAAGTTTATTCTTAGTGCATAAACCACTGAAGACCTTTTTGACATCTTCCGTCGTTTGCGCGCTACCATGTTGGTAGGAGGCGGTACCTTTGTTTTGATAGGACGTTGCTAAGATATATCCAAGATCGACTGTGTTCCGGTTTCCGGTTCATTCCGCTGTTCGCAGAAGTTGCTAGTCACAGGAGCCACAATGGCGTTTGTAGTGTCCTTCAGATAGGGCTGTGGATGATATTAAATCCACTAGCATCGCCCTAAATATAGGCCTGGTTGACTCCCAGAGCCATTGATAATAAACTGGAACATCTACTGCACACGAAAATACTATGATTTCTTATCAATATTGAATTTATAGGGGATAAAACTAACATTAAAGGGAATATGTAAACAGTACCAACCGGGTCAAGTTTTCATTTTGTTCCGACAAACGAGCGTCTTTAAATTAAGGCATTTGCTTGTTTCTAAATGCTTAGACGGTAATTTGGTGGAATAAAAAACACCTTTACTTTACTTGGCACCGGACAAGGATACCTTTTCACAAAAAGGGGACTTTTTCTTTTTCTTTTCCACGAATCAGCTTCGCTAGCCCGCCAAGCATTAGCTAGAAGTGCTAGCTAAACTGAGACGCTGACGACACCACAATGCTCCGATGTTTTGTTTGGATCTTGTTTTTTTTTTTTTTAATTCACTGACTATTTCGAAGTAACATACCAAACAGCGCCGGGAAACCACTTTGGCATTTTTCCTTCTTCTTTGATGAGATAGATTGGCGAGATCTCAGTGGAATGAATTGGCACTGAGGAGGACTGGACGTGAGCGGCCTAGTTAGGTTCATTTTGTGTGTTTATCTTGCCCTGTTTTCTGCTTGGTTACTGCTTTTTGCTTCTTTTTTTTTGGCACTTTTGGGGAAAAAAGCTACTGTTTTCTTGTTAATGAATTTCCTGGACCACCGAGGCCCAGTCGCAGCAGAGGCAACGACGCTGGCGTGAAGGGATGCCTGGGTCGGACCGACACCATGGGACCAAGAGGAAGCCAGAATCTAGCAACAGCAGCGTGCCTCACCAGACTCATACCTCTGTGGGAGAAAAGGCGAGCAAAGACGGCAAGGTGCAGTTAAAATCTTCAATGTCCTCTTCCTCTGCTAAACGTAAGCGGCATAAATCAAATAAACATAATAAGGAATCCTTGGCGACATCAGGTAGAGAATATTTTACCCTCGGCGACACGGCGCCACCTGGTGTCAACACCGTGAAGCCTCTGGTGGAGTACGACGACATCAGTTCCGACTCGGACACTTTCTCGGACCCGCCGTCCTCCAGGCCTCCCGAGAGGGGGAGTGGGTATCGACTGGAGCCCTCACCCGACTATGGCAAGGACGATATCGGCAAAGAAGCCGATGTTAGAGAGAGCAGGGCGCACAGACAGTCCCGGAAAAAGCCCAAGGACCCAAACAAAGTTAGAGACCCTGGAAATGGAGAAGGTGGATGCAAGAAGAAGAGCAGCAAAGACCGCGAGAAAGGCGGTTCTGGAAAGAGCAAGGAGAAGGCCGGCTCGTCGGTTCCGCCAGCCAAACGCCAGGTGCAGCCAGATGGTGAAGCTAAACGCGCGAGCTGATGCTCTCCTCGCAGCTCCAGCCTGGAGCCAGTGTCGGGAGCACCACTTCCTCCACGTCTTCATCTCGCAGCAAGGAGAGCAGCCGCTCAGGGAAGTCTCGCAAAGACAAGCAGCAGCGCAGAGAAAGTCGAGGGGAGGGCAACCGAAGCTCCTCTCAGAAGAGCCGCGCGGACGGGAGCCACCGCAAGTCCTCGAAGAGCCACAAGTCGAGCCCCAAAGGCAAGTCCTCGAGTAGGGGTAGCCCTCGCAGGAAGGGCACCACCAGCTCTGCTCTCTCGCCCAGTCCCAGAAGAGGGGCTGGCAGCGAGAGTCCACAGGCCAGTGGGTATGGGCAGCAGGGGATGACAGCTACTCCAGGCGGAGGGCGGCCCAAAGTCCCAGTCCCTACAGGGATACGTCTCGCCGCAGCAGGCAAAGATCAGACAGCCCCTATGGCAGCAGACACAGGTCCTCCAGCTATGAGAGGGACAGCAGCCCTTACTCAAGGAGACGCTCCATCAGCCCCTATGGTACGCGCAGGTCCTCCAGCACCAGCCCCATGTCAAGGTGAGTGTCTGCAACATTTGTTTTTGGAATATGTTTGAAAAGTTGTCGTTTATACCCACACTCTGACTCATACATGTTTAGAGGAGGGATGTAGAATGACGAAGGCCAATATAAATGTTGAATGAGACCTGATAACAGTTTGCTTATCAAGCTATACTTGGTAGTGTTTGCATTGCTATTGGTAAAACTAATCCGGAGCAGCCTGCAACAGAAGCTTTAAGACAGGTAGACCTGTTGAACTTGTTCAGACAGTCTCCCTCCAGCAGTATATTGACTTTTAAGGGCAGGAAATAGATGTTATTTATGTTGACGGTTTCCCTACATGACATAGAACAAAGCCCAGGGGTCGAGAACGGTTATGGATAGTTTGGCTCCAGTTAGGAGGTTTTGCTTTTTGATTATCATGTTTCAGTCAGTAGATAAAAGCTACTTAAAAAGAAATACAGATTCAGGGGAACAGTTTGTAGCATCTGGTGGTGACAAGGCTATAGTTTTATACATACTGGTACTAGTTATATTTTCCAGATTTCTCTTTTTAAGTTGCATTGAGGAAATAGACCTTGTGAGTGCAAATTCTAACATGCAGTCAACAGATTTTTTTTTATTTTAACAGGAGACGTAGTAAGGCATTTTGCAGCCAGAACAGGTCTCCAAACTTTTGCAATTATTTGAAATGTATTAATCTTGTCTTTATCGTATTTATTTTTTAGGAAAACAAGAGCCTATATCTGTGACTGGAATGGAGTAGAAGTAAATTTAAATACCACGCTACAGACAAGGAGCAATTAGTGTTACTGCGAAGTGAATAACCGTTTTGGATCAAGTCTGTCACTCAGATTTGAGAGCAACAGTTTGACTTTTTGTCTTCATTATTTGATGATGTTAAACGTACCTCACTACTATCCTTTTTTTTTGCAGGGTCAGGTTGTTGTTTCAGCATACTATGCACCCTGTTCCTTTTTTGAACCTTTGTCTCTGACTTCAGAAAGAAACTTCTAAGT